AGACTCAAAAGCTGATCGGTCACAATTAATATACACGTATCTTCCAAGGCTAGGAACTGCCTTACTTGTCTACATCTCTGGTCCTGGATTCAGAAGACCTGGTCAGCGTCTGGTGCTCATATCTCATTCTCCTTGTCCTTGAAAACTTTTAGTCTCTTATGTATACAATCTGTTAATGAAAATAAAAATAAGAAACAAAAGCCAGCAGAACAAAACAAAATCAGCTCTTACATCAGAGGGAAAGTATGTAGCATAGGCTAGGTTTATTTGAAATTCTCAATAAATGTGTGTTTGGAAATTATGACAGATGTAGAAGAAACACATAGCAGTGACCCTACATTCACAGCACTATTAAGACTAGGATATAAGAGGTATGATGAAAAAACATGGTTAATGTTTAAATATAAAAAATTTATTATAGTGAGGTACTTATTGCCATTAATCTACTTCAAACTACCCACCCACTCCAAACACTTTCATTCTTGCCACTCTTTGAAGCAGTCCTATAAGTGTCCTTAGTTGCACTGTTACTGCTTCCTCAGTGTCCAGAACTGATTCAAAATATTGACCTTGCATTGTCATTTTGAATTGGAGCTGAGCCAGAAGTCACATGGTGCCAGAACTAGTAAATAAGGTGGATAAGGACACACCAAATGTTTTTATGTGACATAAATTGCTGTAAATGGTTGATTAAAATGGAACAAACAAAGCATATACAGAATATTTAAATAAAAACTTTATCACAGTGGAAAGCACATTACCATTTATTCCCATCAAAATGCTCCCCCTTGCTCTGAACACATTCATCTCATTGTTCTTGGTAATGTGTCTTTTACTGTAATACATTAAAAAAATTTAAACATCAACCATAGTTAGACACCTGTATATACACAGTAATAATTAGAGAAGGATTTAGGACTGAAATGTATCGTACTGACTATAGGTTTGTAACTATAGAAGTCTCTCCAGGTCCCCCTCAGCCTGCTCAGCTTCAAGGGCATTTTAGTAGTGATGACGAAAATGTTCCTGCCTGCAACCCACAGCTCCCACAGGTCCCCTAGCCTTCCTCAGCATTCCTATCTTCTGGCTGTGGGTATTCTCGTGACATAGTTCATGTGAGTCAGTCAACCAGGGTGTCAGTCATAGTTACCGGGAGGCCTCTTTCATGCTGTTTTCCTTCTGCTCTGGCTTCCTTCATCGTTGCCTTTGTCTAGGAAGGTGAGCCCCTGCCTTGCTGCTGGTGAACATCATGAGGAAATGGAACCTGGCACTTCAAAGGTACAGGCTTCGTTGATCCCACATGGTCAGCCCCAAGTGTGGAAGTATACGGTGTCAGTGGAGTGTGGTGACTGCCTTTCTAAGCCACTCAGGGTCCAAGCTAATTACCTGGATATCTAAGCTTTGAAGGACTTGTTTCTCCATGTCTTGTTCTTGATTTTTCTCATTCAGAATGAAATATGGAGTGTTTACTACATGTTAGACACTGTGAGTGGCTTTGGTATCATAAAAGTGAACAAAAATAGAAATGGTTTTGATTTCACATTTAGTGGGAGAAAAATAGATTATTACTGAAATAGAAATAAAATTTCGGTAGTTTTAAGTGTAGAGAGGAGAGGCATGTTGAGAATGTAAATATTAAAAAGAATAAATTTTCTGGAAGATAAGTTAGGCAAAACTCTTGAAGACATTGGCATAGGAAAAGACTTTATGAACAAATCCTCAGTAGCATAGGAATTTGCACAAAGAATCAACAACTGGGATCTCATCTTATTAAAAAGCTCCTGCCCTGCAAAAGAAACCATCAGCAGAGCTAAGAGACAACCTAAAATTTGGGAAAAATTTTTTTACCAGCTGTTCCTCAGAGATGATGGATTATGATAAAGGGCTTGTTTAGTTAGGAGGGGTTGGGAGCTTCTTTAGGAATCAAGTAAAATATTATTCTAAGGAAAGCAGCAAAGCCTGACAGGAAAATCCCATACAGAAGAGCATCAGGTACAAAAGCCATTTAAAGAGTTCCTTCAAGCTCTTCCCTCAGGGCCAGTCTGGTCCGTGTGGTCAGGGGAGGCCAGTATCTGCCCAGTATCTGCCATGTCATCCTCTTCTTCATCTACCTCTCGTGTAAGCTTCTTTTCTTAGGCAAAATGACTCAAATAAGTGGTTCTCCAGCTACCAAGAGAACTTGCCATTCTTAAATCCCATCTGTACCTCTAGCTTTTGCTCTAGTGAGGATCACATACCACTACAAGCTGTGAAAAAGAAGGTACAGAATTAGCATCTTAAGGAGGAAGCTGATGTTCTCTCTGACATTTAATGGAAGAGGTGGGATTTGAACCATGGTTTGGAAGGATAGGTGAAAGCAGACAGCAGGCCATACAGGTGGAAAGGACAGAATTGGCCAAGGGAAGAGGTAGGAAGGGTACTGTTAAATGAGAAGAGGTAAAGATACTGAGATTTCTGGAATAGAAAACTTGTTAAGTTAGAGACTATAAAGAAGTATCAAGTTATAGAGAATTTGGGAAAGTCAGAAAAGGCATTTGGGGCTTGATTACTTAGTACTCTAGGGAAATACTGCAGGTTAATGGATAAAGAAGCAATGCATATAAAAACTTCACAAAGCATTTTAAAAAAGAATATAACAAGGAATTGTTATAAAAGCTGTTTGCATAGCATCTTGCTCAGGTGATCGTCACAATTATTTTGGAGTTTGAGGTGACGGAAAGTTATCCACATGTCAATATATACTATGTGGTGGACATGAGAGACTCACACTCATGAAACATCCAAGATTAACATTTAGTTATATGCAGAGAGATGTAATTTTTGTGGTGAGAGTGAATATTTTCAAATAAATTATAACTTTCTAGAGGCTCTGTCAACATTCAAAGGCATGTGAATTAAACATACACTTAAAGATTCTGTGATTTTTTTTTCATTCATTCTGACTTGACTGTTACTTCTAAGAATGATTAGTTGAAAAACATGTTTGTTGTCGCTGCTGGCTTTGCCATATATAGCTTGTAGGTTGGTAGATACCTAATTATTACATATTGATGCGGTATCCGAACACCTGATCACAGGGTTTGATAGCACTGTGTCTTTGATAAACAGTTTTCTATGTTTGGTAAAGATTTTTCTATGTAGGCCACCAAGAACAGGTCAGAGAAATTCACACATATGCATATACATATAAATAAAATTTATTTCATTTTATTGTTCCCAAAGGTTAAGATATACAAATAAGGACTAAAATTAAAATTATTTGCTTTTGGGATGATTTATGTCTTAATTTTCACCTGCCCTATAATTAGAAATTTTGAACTCTGTAAAAATTTTTTAAGATTAAAATTATTGCCTGAGTAAACTTCAGGAATCATATCATTAACCCAAAGACCTTTCTAAGCTGAGAACAACATTACTGGTACAAGTGCCTGCACACATACAGAAAAATAAAGAGGAAAGTTTAAAATAATTTGAAAATGATTTATTGTTGGCTTCCTCTGTAGTTAGAGATGTTAGTATTATTACTTTGCTTCAGTTCAACAAGGGAGGACAGAAATTTGCTGTGAGCTGGTAAATTGTGATCTATTACAAAGGAGGAAGGAAATGCACTGAGGGTGTAGACAGAAGTTGGGAGTAAGCCATATGTTTTCTGAAATATTGCTTTAGATAATGCCTTAAAAATATTGCTTTGACCCTTTCTGGAAAAGTCCCACGTAAACTCTGAGGCTGATGACCTTCTTAAATCTCATGTAGTTAAGGATGAGTGGGCCTGGTATAGGGACAGTCAGATGGGAGGCTGGAGTACAATACACACTAAGATATCTAGAGTCACCGATTTTCTCTTTGAGTTTTCTTGACAATCCTCTCCTAGACCCACCCAGTTCTAGAGTTTGAAGGGATTATTTGAGACAATCAAATTTAGGGCCACCATTCCAAGGTAGTTTTGCTTTTCCATCCTGCTTACATGATTTGCAAGGTTGGTTGATGTCTGCTTGTGAAAAATCAGAGGTTACCATTTTTTCTCTATATATCAGAGTCTATCACTTTTTCTTTTTGGAAGAAGGAAGAAGTAATAAAATCTCATCCTCAAGACACAATGTGATGCAAGGAAAAAAGGAAAAAGACTAATATGTTGAGGGTCTGTAACGCAGCAAGGTTCAAGCTACATGTTTCATAAATATTGCCCCATTTAATCCTCCTAAAACCCTATTGTAGAACACCGTTCTATTGTATTTTAAATAGAGAAAATTGAATCCAACCCATCAGTACATGATGCAATCAAAATATACAGTGAATTTTTAAATTAAGAAATTGTTGCAATAAAAGACCCATTGCCATCGAACTCCCTCAAAATACCCTTCCTTGCTTTGAATAAAATCATCTCTTATTCTTATCATTTTCCAAAGCAGTCTGGCAGTCCTTCGTGAGTGTCTTTATAAAATATGATAAAAGGGTGAATTCTGCTGGGAAAGGCAGGCTCTTAAAAATATTACAGTTTGCCCTCATCTCCCCATCCATCTTATTCACCACAACAGCATGACTTAAAGACACCCACGGTGGAAGACTTCCAAAACTGCTTCAGAAAATGGCAAGAATGATGGGGCAAGTGTGTCCTGAGCAAGCAGGAGTATGCTGAAGGAGATTGTGATGTGACTTACTGTAATACATTGTTTAAAAAATGTGAACATTCACTGTATTTTTGCCCACATAGTGTTACCCAAAGGAACCTCCGACTCATCTAAATTTAGCATGATATCTGATCTAAATGCATTGTTTTTCATACCTCCCTCTTCTGTGCTGTACCACTTTTATTACACCTTTTACAGATGAGAAAAATGTTGCCTCCCAAACCCATTTCAAAATAAAATACTCGTCACAAAATGATAATGATGCTGAGGCTTACTTCACTAGATTCTTTCTTCTCACAGAACTATTTGAATGACCTCACATTCTTCTTAATTATTAAAATGTCTATGCGATGTTTCTTTGGGGTGCTTTAGGTTCCCTACCAGCAGTAACCGTCACCCACCTTCGAGCGGCCAGCCGTGCAGAAGATACGGTGTTGGCTCTGGAAGATGCCGTGGACTGGCGTCCCGGGGATAAAGTTGTCATTGTCAGTGGGACAGGAGTTGAAGGTGCCAGCCTGCTGGAGGAGATTGTCACTGTGGAGACCACGCACCATGCAGATCTCCATCTTAGGTCACCCCTGAGGTATACAGATGGTCAGTGTGGCCAAGTTACACAGAAGAACACAACATCCTAATTGCATTGCAGTCTGGACATTTTGTCTTCTGATGTATTTGTGTGTTAGAAAGGTTGGATAAGAAAATGATAAAACATGAAACGATTTGAAGATGTGGAGCTCATAATTTGTGAGGCTCTGGAACTCTATTTTACAGCACATTGTCAGTTCAATAATCAGCATATTTTAAAATTTTTATGCACTTGTGAGCATGGTTCACTCACTCTTTGGTATGTGAGTTGCTAAAGAAATGAATCTCAAAGGAAGAATTGAAATCATCTCATGACTTGTGATTTCTAAGATTTGGAGGGATGTCCTTAGATATACCTTCCTCCTTTTCTCTTTTTCAGATATTCTCACAACTGGACAGAGAACTGGGTGGCTGGAGAGCAGCGAATTTTAAAGGCCACAGTTGCTCTGCTCAGCAGGAGTATTACCATAAAAGGAAATCTTACTCATGAGAGGAGGAAGTTTCTAGCATCATGCCAGGAGAGCAGTGTTCCAGAAGGTAGAGGAAAGTTTCGTTAGAAAATCTTATAAATGAAAAAGAATGTTTTCACATGACACATGGCAATGCACTAGTTGATCTCCTTCAAAATAGAATAAGCTCTTAACCTTTGGATGTCAATGATATTCTGTAATTTTCAGAATGTTCTTGATAAATTATCATTTAATTCCCCTCTTCACTTCCAAACAAACATGTGAAAGAGACACACACAAAAAAGACAAAAGAAATAATAATTGAACTATGTTTCTGGGGGGGAAATTCTATTAAAGAATTAAAACTGTAGAGCTGAATTGCATTTCCAGGTTAGATGTAATCTTAACTTTGATTCTAGGCTTCTTCTAAGATTTTCCGGGAAATCCTAATGCCAGAATCATAGGCTCCAGGACCATATTCTTCTTGATTAGACTTGCTCTCCCACTCCTTTTGGGGTTTGTTTTGTGAGTGAGCTACCACATACTTTGAGTAAGTGGTGGGAAAAGTTCATTTATCTTCTAGCAGAATAGCAGGCACTGAATCACACTGATGTGCCTATTAAACATCGATTTCAGGGATGGTTAGTTTAGTAGGTTATGTTTTGGTTTCCCAGGCTGTAGATTATGAGGCTTTCACATGTTGTGAAGACATCATTTGTTAACTTTGGTCCAGGATGGGGAGGGTGTCAAGGATGACTTCCAGGCATGAGCTCTGGATGGATGATGAAGCCATTTACTGAGCTGGGAAGGGGAGCATGTTTTGGGGTGAGAGGGTGACGATCATGTGTTTAAATTTGTGTGTGTTGAAACAGAGGTGGCAGGCCAGCAACATGCAAGAGATGTACAGTAATGTCTGAAACTCAGACAAAGCTAAGGTTAAAAATTTGAGTGGCATCTGCATGTAGTTGCAAGTAAGTGTAACATAGCAATGTAGTTGGGTGTGGAGAGAGATCTTCCTCATCTTCTTCCACCCAAGTCATTGACTCACAATCATGCCATTCTATAAAATATGTCTGTGTGACAGTGGGTTAGAATTGATTCACCACAAACTTTAACAGTTTTGCCAAACTGAGATCTGCATACCATTCAAACCTGCTTGATAATTCTCATACAGATTTTCTCAGATCACACTTTGCAAAACATGGAATTTTATCACGTAACCAGTAAGAACATGGTTCTGGAATTGCGCCTTTTGAATTTATTTTGGTTTCTCAAGACAGGGTCTTATTCTGTAGATCAGGCTGGCCTTGAACTCACTATGTAGCTTAGGCTAACTTGCCTTGAATTTAGAGTGATCCTCCTGCTTCAGCCTCCCAAGTGCTGAGATTACAGTCATGCAATACCACGCTCAGCTTAAGGTTTGAGCTATTAGAAATCTGTTAGTTCCTAATAAAATACATCCTTGATGTCATCATAAATCTTAAATATAGCTACAGTATTCTCAGAATGAGTCATTTAGCCTTTTGTATAGGACAAAAGTATGGGACATGCTAGCTAAATCTTATAATACAAAGTCTGGACATTTGGAAATGTCATGGATTACTGGAGCAACCAATAAAGCATGCAAATATAAAGCATCTCTTTATTTACCTTTTATATATTCATTTCGGTATTAGCAAATGGCTGGATTCTGAAATTCACTGTGGAATGACATTGTTTTGTATGATTGCTACTTCCTTGGTTCATTAACATGGATAATAAAGAATCAGTTCAGGAGTTGATTTTTTTCTCCTTCCTGAGGTTAGTGCACATCAACAAATGTCCTGTGTCTATGGTAAGTGCTGTGGATCCTGAGGTCCCGACACTGTAGCAGTAGAAGTTGTGAGAAAGTCCTTACTGTGCATTGTCTCCGGGGGTCTCTTGTGTTGAAATAATCATCTTTTTAGGTTAGATTTGTGGGTTATAATCTATCACTTTATGCAATAATTAAGATGATTGTTTTAGGAATTTCTGGAAATAATAAAAGCAACATTATGCTGTAGTGATCAGATCTTTTAACTAATAATCCACAGAGGGTAATTAAAGTAAAAATAAGATTACTATATGAAAGAAATAACAATGGATTTCCATTGTGCTGGAAGTGCCTTCTAAACAGAGAGATTTGTCTCAAAGCATATTCTATTAGTCTAGTTCCCCTGGATTTCATTCTGTGTTTCAGGTAATCTGCAGCACTGTTTGTATTCCAAGAGTGAGAAGGTGCTGGGATCCAGGGATCTGGGGGCCAGAATCATCATTCAGTCTTTCCCAAAGGAGCCCAGCCGGGTCCAGCTGAAGGGGGTGCAGTTCCGACACATGGGGCAAGCCTTCCAGAAGCACCTGAGCTCCATCACTCTGGTGGGAGCAATGAGAGGTAAGGGATCAAAAACTTCTTACTTTCTGTCTTTTTCTCTAAGGCACTTATGTGGGTCATACATAATAAGGGATTTGTGGGATTTGAGGAATTTGTAGGTGGATACCTCTTTATAGTCAACATCAGCATTTTTCAATTTTAGTGTGCCTAAAAATCATTGGTAGAATTTAAATTTGAGCCCAGGCATCTGAATTTTAAATATGCATAGCTGATTGTTCTGGAAGGAGACATCTCAGGAGTAAAATTTGAGAAGCATCACTGATATGTGGAGAGAGCTGCACAGCCTTGTACCCTGAATCCTGCCACTTTCGCTCACTAGTGCTGTGATAGTAGGCGAACTAACTTTGAACAGTATAGATAATTAACACTGTGGGAGTCCAGGCAGAGGAGTTGTCCTGACTCAGAGAAGTCTTCTGTCTGAGAGAGCATAGGGGAGGAAGAGCTGAGATAAAAGTACTTTTTCTGGGAACATAGACTGGTGTGTAGAGGTTGGCTAAAGCCGCAGATACAGAAATGAGCACAAAGCATCAATTTCAGGTGTGAACCACTCAGTGAAAAATAAAATCAGAACTAGAAGAAAAGAATGTGGCTGGATGTACCAATAAGAGATCTGAAACCGAGGTCAGAGGGATATAGGAGCTTCCAGGGTGAAACCCTAACAACAAAGCTGATACGCAGAGTGAAAGGGTACAAATGCTAAGTACTGAGAACAACCAGCTCTGTTTCTGAGTGATCCTCCAATTCCCCAACACATCTAATACCCACACTTTCAAGTTTTGCCTTTGTTTATAGGTGCTGCTCATCAAAGGTTGATGCCTGAACAAAAGACTTCAGGTTGGGCTGGGGATTTAGCTCACTGGTTCTGCCACCTACCTGACTCACAAGACCAAGGTCCCGAGTTCAATAGCCAGTACCCCCAGAAAAAAGACATCAGGTCAACTTTGTGCTGCCCCTTGGACTTGAGAAATAAGGTTGAGCCTTTAGTAGAGTTTTGATGGGCAACGACAGAGGGATCCTTAAAAATATTAAGGGCAGAATCTCTTGCTAGCCACTTACAATTGTTTCTCTCCTTTCAAATCATCTGCTAGCTCTTTGGGTATCTATCCTAATCTGCTAGCTATTTATGTATTCCAGTCATTTAGGTTTATAGTTCCTACCATGATCCCTTTCCTTCTACACTGGGTCAGTTGGTACTTCTGCGCACTCTTCTCTGGTTCTTTGTTGTTAACTCCATGCAGTGCTGCCGAGTATTTGATGCCAGCTTCAGGGAAAGAGGATGATAGTCACACACAAATTATCATTTGAACCCCTTATTCAAAATTCACTTAATTTACCTCAAGTCTTTTATGGAGTAACTACCCTTTTTATCAATTTCTACATATTTGATTTTGTTTGAAAAGGATTTAATGCACATGTTTAGAAACCACTGCATTAAGATATTATCCTCTGTAAGTCCATGTTGAAATAAAATGTATTTCTTTCTATAGCAAGGAGTAACACATTAACCCTGGAATTAGAGACTTCTGTCATGTTTACATCAAAGCATCTTTTATTATTTCATACCCTGCAGGCCACCAATTGTCCCAGCCTCTAGAGTTAGAAGGCATTGGAATCTTTGCACAGTACTTTGTTTGTTTGCTTGTTTTGTTTTTATGAGACAGGGTTTCACTCTGTAGTTCAGACTGCTCTGGAACTCACTGTGTAGCTCAGGCTGGTCTCGAACTCACAGCGATCCTCGTGCCTCAGCCTCCAGAGTGCTGGGATTACAGGCGTGCACCACCACGCTCAGCTTTTGCACAGTACTATAAAGGGGTCACCAGTTCCTGAATTCTACCCATAAGGGCTATTCAGATGTATTCATTCTGATGGTGTCATACTGTGGCAATTCAGAGTTAGAATAAGTCTGTAGCAGGTAATGTTTCTGAAAGAAGTAGATATGGGTCAGTTAATCAATACAGTGGATACTTGTTAGTAATATAAAGATCTCTACTACTAAGGGAGCTGTGATAGAGGGAAATGTAGGGATCCACTGTCTACAAGACACTAAAATTGAGAATTTTCTGGGTAGTTCTGATTCTAAAAGTCAAAATATTTTATGAACCAATATCCTTGATATGTGGAATCTATATATATCCTCTCTTCATTTCTTATAATAATACTAGGCTCCTTTCTCTGGATTTATGTTTAATTTTCCAAAAAATAAATTTTTGTTTTTTAGTGTCATTTTCCTCCACCAGGTTGAAAATACACCAATGTGAGTCTGCTTAGCTTTGCTGGCGTTTATATTGCCAACGTAACACACAATCCCTAAAACACACACAGTCATGCTTTTTTTAAATCCATGAGGGTATATTTTAAGAAATGTGTCATTGGGCAGTTTTGTCATCATGTGAGTATCACAGAGTGCACTTATGCAAACCAAGATGGTGCAGATCAGCCACGTCCAGTGGCTTCTCCATGCAATCAAGAAAGGAGGTAAGCATGAGATGTATGAAGCTACTGTTGGCACAACATAGTGTGCTGCTTAATGGCAAGTTTTTTAATTTTGTAAGTAGAAGGACTACACTCTAAAATAATAGAATAAACATGCAAACCAGTTATATAGTCATTTGTTGTCATTATTAAGTGTTATGTGTGCTACGTAATTACATGTGCTGTACTTTTATATTACTGGTAGTGCCGTAGCTTTTTTTGTTCTCCAGTATCATCACAAACACATGAATAATATATTGTGCTTCAACATTTTGACTGCTGCCATGTTGCCAGGTGCTGGGAGCCTCTCATTCCACTGTATTTTATGGGCCCACCACTGTATATGTAGCCCATAACTGACTGAAATGTCATCGAGTGCAATTTGACTATATTTAATACTCAGGGAATATTTATTTATTGACTGATCTAGGCTGTATAGCCCAGTTCAGGGGCCAGAGATGCAAAGACTAATCCAGGGCAATGATTTTCCTAAATGTTGATTCTTTTTAGCATTGTAGAGGATACTTTCCCTCTAACTTCATAAACTTTCCCTATTCAAACACGAGAGTCATGATTATCAGGCATTTGCCTTTGCTAACAATTTGGAATAGGACTCTCTGACAGTCTTGGGCTAAGACTACCATTGCTTTGCAAGTTATAAATATCAATTTGTTTGTAGGATATAGCTCAAGAAATAATGATGACATCTCCTTACGAAGATGCAGCATTCAGACATCATAGTTGGTCCATAAGCATTACTTTCCACAGTCCTTACCTGCTCATTTACCATATTGGGATAAAAATTTATGCCAAAGCTGGTCGTCAGGTGGAATCCTGAGAGCCATGGGTTCTTTTGTGGTTTGGCCATACTTTCTCTTTCTCTGATGACTTTCTTTTCTAAGAATTAATCCTTAGATTTAAACCTCTTAATCTTTAAGGCTTATTAGCCTGAGCTAACTATTTTCTTGATTTGATTGCCCCTTCCAACTCAGCTTCTGAGTTTCGTTGTTAAGAAGGTATTTTTAGCTATGGCATCGCTTACTTTGGACATGGTCAGTAGAATCCAAGGACTGTGAGATCTAGTTGTGATTTCCACCTTGCTCTTTCCTGTTCAGGTTCCTACATCCGGGGTTGCACAGTTTGGAGCTCTTTTAGCAGAGGCCTGGACTTGGGCAGGACCTGGGGCCTGGAAGTGGACAGTAACGTGATCTATAAGATTTTAGGCCATGCACTGCTGGTGGGTAAGTAGAAGGAGCTTGTTGTATTTCTGCATGCTTGAGTAGGATACCTATTTTTTCATAGGGAATTTTCCCCAAATCTTTAATTCCTAATTTATAAAACTTTGGCTTTCTGATCCTCACAAGTATGCCATGGTTAAAAATTCTACACTTAAATATAGTCATCACTGATTAACTTACTAAACTTTATCAAAAGGAATTGATCTTTTAAAGGTTTAGTTCAGGTTAACAAATATACAATGGGAGGTTTAAAACTTGCTGCCAGATATTTTCATGGTAATTTTAAGTCATGTAAATACATGCAAGTACAGTCTCATTAGCTGTCAAACTTAAATGTTGACCGACGACTTAAGAAGTCTATAATTCTCTCCTTAATCGCTCTCATGGCTCGGGAAGACATCCATGCTTCAGAATCTTTTAACTGATCACTTGTTTTCAATTTTTGTCCTTAAAGTTCATTGCAAAAACCTAGAAAAATCTCATTGTGTCATATCATTCCTCCTCTTAAAAACCTTTAAGAGTTTCTGATGGCTGTTAAAATATAAACAAAGATTTTAATATGGTTCGAAAGATTGCTTCTGTGATTTCTTTTGTCTGTGTTAATCTATGTAAACTTGTCTTGCTCTTTTTGTTTCCCTCTGTACTCTAGTGACACTGATCTATTTCATTTTATCCTTTAAAAAATACTTTCTTCAGTCTCAGAGTTTTGCTTAGCTCTTGTTCTTTTTTCAAGCTACTCAATCTCAGATTGATCTCACAATACCATCAAGACTAGTCCTTCTGTTTAAGCTTTTTAAGCACCATTCAGTACTTCTTGATTTAAAATATATGTAATGTGAGGCCAGATATTTACTTCAGTAGGGCTACTGCCTGCCTTGCAAGCACAAGGTCCTGAGTTAGATCCCCAGTACGAGATATGTGTGCGTGTGTGTGTGTGTGTATGTGTATATATATATATTATATAATATATATATATACACATTATATATATTATATAATATATATATATACACATTATATATATTATATAATATATATATATACACATTATATATATTATATAATATATATATATACACATTATATATATTATATAATATATATATATACACATTATATATATTATATATATATATAATCAGATGTAACATTTCTGATAAATCTGATTATCATCACTTTACCACCAGATTCCATGAGGACAATATTTCCTTAGCATTCAGTATATTAATTCATGCACTAGGCCTGTCAGTTCAAAGAAAAGAATGAATAAATGAACAAAGGGTCTCTGATTATATCCGAATAATAAAGCAAATCAAGTTCACTAAATGAAAGAATATAACTCTATTTGGTAAATAGATTTTTATGTTTAATTCAACTCTGATATTATTGGGGGAAATATATGTTTTATTTAAGAACAATCTGTTGAGATAAATACTGCAAAATTTCTACATGGGCATGGTGGTAAACACTGGTAATACCAAGTCTTGAAGGCTGAAGCAACAGGATCACAAATTTAAGGCCAGCCTGGCCTACATCACAAGTTCAAGGCTAGTCTAGATTACGTCATAAGACTCTGTCTTTCAAAACAAATCAAAATAAAGGGTCAAAGTTTCTAACAGTTTTTTGGGGGGTCACTGGGTATCAAACTTGGGTCCTTGTGCTTGCGCAGCAAGATATTAAGGCTCTTAATATCTAATGTATTGCAACGGAGGGATTAAAATATTTGTTATTATTATAGGAGACTGAGGTACACAAAGACCTAAGGTCTCATGAGGGATTCTGTGCACCTGCTCCCTGTTAATACCTCTTAAATGGCTCATCTCTCTGTGTCTCATGGCTTATGTGTGCTCTCCTACTCTCTTATGGGAGTGAGGGTTTCTGATCTCATCCGGCCTGTTTCTCCAGAACATTCTAGACTTTCAGGGAAAGAGAGAAGCGTGCAGATAGCTGGTAGCCAGTTTGAACACCTAGGGACAAGGTTGGAGCTGACAGACAATTTGAGAGAAGAGACCATCACTTAGACTCCTCCTAGGAAGTAAAATAAAAGATTTATTTTTCTGCTCTTAATTTTATTGAAAGTAAACTTTTGATCCATATTACTCTTGAACTAAAAGTCCACACATGATCTATATCTCTTGGTCTGGTTCATAGATAAAAACACACAAAAAATTAAAACAGCCAACACTCAAAGAATAAATACTGTTGCAGTGTCTCTTGTTTTCCTGAGTGGCATCAAATGTGCTAAATGAAGTAATATAGTCTTTTGTTCTCAGGGACATTCAAGGAGATAAGCTCTATCCCTTGGGAGTTTATTCCTGGAAGAAAACATGGTAAATATGTAAACTGATTTTTAAGTCTATAACAATCCATTTATAATGGTCATGTATTTTATATGAAGATCTGATGGGAATGTTAGATGTTTTAAATTTGTTGAGCTAAATATTTTCTACATACAGATATACATTTATATGAAATGTATTGCATGAACTGGGATGTATATTAGAATCGAAAGTGTTGGGTTGTATAAATTTTAACTGTATTTATGAATCTTTGGGTTTTATTTTAAAACTAGGCTTGTCAGAACAGGGGAATATAGTAAGAAACAACGTGATAATCAGTGTTTCTGGTGCCGAGGGTCTCTCCAGTCCAGAAATGTTGGCACCATCTGGCATCTACATCCGCAGTCCCAACAATGTCATAGAGGTAAGAACTTCAGCTCCACCAGGAGGGTCAGAGCTGAGAGGACACAAAATTCATTCTGAATGTACACGGGAGCAACAACAGCAGTGATATGGTTTGAAATGTTTCCTTGTCTTAATTTATGACTCTGCATTAAACTTTAGAGTAAGCACAATCATTTTCTGAGGATTCTTATAAAACTTCTTCCAAGCAATGCCTACACGGAGCAAACACAGTAAATATTGATAATTTTCTGGTCATTCGGATTAATGCAAACTATGACTATCTTCCTGAGTTACCCACCATGGACGCTGATTTTATTTCTTCTGAAATAAAACTTTTACTCTCTTGCTGTGTTAATGTGGCTATATTATTTCCTTATAACAGTGTTTCAGATTGAATCATGAGATGTACGAGGTCATGTAAGATATTAGGGAGATATAGGATTCTTTGATGATCTTAATTTTTAATACAACTTAACATTAATTTCTCTTGGGAAAATTTTAAACACTTTATGAAATGAAATTCCTGTTAACTATACACTTAGCTGTGCAGTTTAACCATAGATTTCCGAATGAAGAATTGCATCAGAATAATGGAAGGGCGTTTCTTTTCCCCTTTCCAATCCTTTTATCTCATGGACCATCTATGGAAGTGGCTAAGGGCCTCTTTCTTTCAGGGCACTGCTCTGAGGATTGTCCGTGTCAGGACAATTATGCCATGTTTCTGAGGCACTCAGAGGGTGAGTGTTTTTCTCACTGATCATCTGTTTTTAATTACCTCCAGCTGAATCACCTCTCATAAAAGTTGTGGTTATCTGTTTAACCCTCCTTTGATTCTTAATAGTGCCTATGCTGAGCACAGCACTTACACACCATTTTAGGTGCCTAATAAGGGTAGCTAATATGTCAGTAAGGAAAGGAGGCAGAACTGCATGGATTGTAAGAAACCCAAATCTAGGCAAGTAGCATTTAACTTGACTTTAGGCCTTGTTGCATAGCTTGCCAAAAGCTTTGGGGCCTTAAGAACCATGTTTATGTGCACTTTTCTGGGTAACAGTCTTGACTACCCTGAAATGGCTATTGGGAAGGAATCCATCAGGGTTGGCCAGCTCATCCTCCTGTATGAAGCAGGGATATCTATCTTTCTGGCTGGGTTCTGCATTGTCTCCAGGACAGATATCCTGGCCACTTGCTGATAGGAAGAAGAGGAGCTGGCTACAGGTGCCATGAGCCAGGAGCCATCTGAAAGGTAATGGATAATCTTGGTCTTTTTTAGATTGACCTGTAGAAAAACACCCAGCCAGAAATGGAAAAATTATGTAGAAGTAGCTATTTTCTCTGTCTTCATATACCTTCCATTTCTATCCACTTGCTTCTTTCTTCTTATATGTGCAATTATTTACAAAATTTAAAAAACACAATGCATGTGTTTTGAGAATGTTTGTTGAGGGTGAGTTGATAATAGATTCAGTAGACATATTTCTAACATATTCACCTTCAACAATAACATTTTATAGTTCTCTTTTTGTTTGCTTATTAGCTTGTAGACCCTACCACAAGGTCTAAAACATAGTAGTTGCTCAATAAAAATGTGTTAACTATAATGAATGAATGTTAGTATAAATCTATATTCAAAGAATAGGAAGGAGGAAGAAAGACAAAAGAAGAGATTCTAATATTCAAAAATAATTTTGATGCCAAAAAATTTTAATCAGTGGCAGCATTTGAATCCTATAGAACTTATCTGTTAGTGTTAAATATTGCTAAGTTCAGCTCAGTTTTTCCAATTGTGCCACTACCTTTCTGGTATGTTGTGGCTTTTAAAATTCTCCTGTATGGGATATGCGGGATTTTAAGCACAGCGTTTCCTTTGTTTTCCATCCACAAGTGGTCTGGCTGCTGTCAAAGAATCACATCCAGGCAGTTTCTTTGAGAAGCAAAATCTAAGCTCTGTGCCTTCTTACCAGTGAGGACTCGTGTGCAGTATTATGTGTGAGTCTCTAGTGCCCTTATGGTAATTCCTGCTTTGCATGCTCCTTTGTAAGCCTTGGCCAAGCTCTTCCAAAAAGGTTGGGATTATTCACAAGTATGGAAGCTCTACTTTAAATTTTCATGGTTATGTTTAAAATGTGCACAATTACTTTTACATTCATATCACTTATCAGTTTGTTAAAAATAAAACTGCCACATGCTAGGAGACGCCCATCACAGTCACAGTGACGTACTCCTGCTCTGTCATGGCTCGCTAGCTTGCTCAGAAAAGCAAGACGCTATGAAAGTTCCACTCAACAGAGAACTTTTTGTACAGGCTTTAATCCGTTTTCCTGAAATGTGCTGTTTTTTCATGAAAGTAACTATAATCTTTTCACATCCCATGGAACTGCTCTTTATACATTGCGACTTTTTAAACTTAACCATATTTTTCAGAATTAACTTTTTTGGAGAGAGGAAATTTCCCACTTGCTAAATGATACTAAACTAGTGTTTGGGCTCTTGTAATTAAGCCCTCAGATTTTATAAAAGGATAGTCTGTAGCTTTCTAGGTTCTTCACTAGAGTTGGTTGTATGTAAAGACTCTAAAGTGACACCCAAATGCTTTTAAATGTCTGGGTTTTCCACTAGGCACGTAGTGAGGAGAATATTTTGCTAATGCATACTTTAGCTGTTAAATTAGACAGTCTTGAGCTTTTCTTAGTTAATGCAAACCATTTGTTTTTTTACTGTGCTTGAGGAGACAGGATATTTTCATATAATTTTTGCCTAAATCAAACAGCCCACTCTAAATCTTAATTTTTAAATGTCAAACTTTGGTGATCCATCTATTTGGGAAGTGATTGCATTATGCTTAATTTCCAGTGGAGGCTAAAAACAGAAAATTCTGGGATTTGCTACTATTAAAGCCTCATTAAGCGAAATTGATAGGCACTATTTTTGATCAGTTGAATAGATACCAATGTCAATTTATGGGAAACTTTTCTTAAAACTTGTTCATGTATTATTTTGATCCATTTTCTGTGGCATTTGGTGCAATAAACCTTTGGAATTTATCTTGAAGAAACAAAATGAAAAACAGATTGGTGGTGATTCTCCCCGCATACCTGTAATCTCTGAGAGGTCTCCACATCCAGCCTGCTTTCCTTCAGCAACCCCAGCATCTGACACCCTGGCCTCTTTCACAGGAGCTCCTTATATCTGATCCGCCTTTCCAGAACACAAAAACTGTGTGACCCTATTTCTACGGTCATACCACCCTCAATGCGCCAGATCTCATCCTATTTCCTTCTCCTCAGGCTGGAAAGGTTTTGCTCTCAGACAACAGGGTGGTTCACACTCAGAGTTTCAGAGTTCTCCATATCTATGTAATGGTAGGAAATTTCCTAGGAGCAGATTCTTGTTTAGGATGGTCTGGGAAAATCCCCAAAGAAGAGCCCTTTGGAGACATTCATTTAATTTAAAAGGAATTTGTTCTGGTTTGTGAATCAATTTCATAGGGAATACTGTGTTTAAAGGCCCAGCCTTAGTTCTCTAGTTCTCCCCACTCAATAGGTAATGCATATTTAAGAGCTGCCTGAAGGGTTAACTCACTTTTTTTCCTGGTGACTATAGACGCACACCTGAAGGAGCTGGCTTACTTGGGCAGTTAATTTCTCTCTGGAATTTCTCCTGCTTGAATGTCCGTAATACATTGACTTCCGCAAAGAATTGATTTCCACACAAAATTCCCTGCTTGCCTTAAACCCTTCCCCACAAGCCGCTGGCTGCCTGCATAAATATGTGGTTTCCTCCTGAGTCATTTGAAGCATACCCAATTGGAACTGCGAGTAAAAGAGCTGGGAAGTAATGTGATCTGACTGCTGATGTGCTTTTTTCCTAAGAAAAATGAGCCTTATCAGTTAACGGAAGACCACATTTGAGGTCTCCTGCCCAACTACCAGTGCATTTGGAAAGTGTTCATATATGATCAATCAGATATCCCATAAATGTAAATGGGACTGTGTCAGCACCTCCATTCATTCACTGGAAATGCATGCTTTCCGAACACATCTTCTGGCAATAGTGACGAATTAGGATGCAGTTCTTGGAGTACATTTTTGAAATGCTGAAGACTTTCTTCTTTTCCTGAAGTCTTGGCAATCAACAAACATTTCACTAGCAATGAAACAGCTGTACATGTCCAAGTGAGATTTTCACTTTTAGCCTGTAGTGTACACTTCTCATTGTTTGTATATTTGCAGAAGAGGTGGGTCTTCAAGGGCCGACCCCCTGACCTTCTGTTCTCAACTCTTCAGCCCTATGGATCACAGATGTAGGTCATGGGTGAGGTCGTGTGTGTAGCGGAGACACAGCCACAAGGGATAAGTTATCTAGAAGGTGGATGGGCACAAGCACTGTTTTGAGAAAGGTTTCAGTTGTGTAATGACGACTGAGAACAGTGGCTCTGCTGTAGCTGTGTGTATCGGTGAGTACTGCAGAGATCTACTGGGCATTTTTATTTACCAACTGAGAGACAGGGATTCTTCCTATGGCTGAGACTCATTAGTGCATATCTTGTTTTCTAGCACAAGGGAAGAATTGAGATAATTGATTTAATGCTAATTGTTCTTTTTGGGAATGACTCATGGAAGCTTTGCTCATCTTAAAAGATATAAATACCCTTCTCATTAGAGACTATTAAAACTTTTTTATTGTAATGGACTATGTTTTTATATTTAGGTTGGCGATATGGACTCTGACAAAATTTGGAGATAGGGTACTGTCAAGTGAGCATGAGTTATTTTGATAACACACAGCTGTAGTAGACTGTGGAACAGAGTCTGCCCGCTGTGGTAGTTGCTATTTGGGGCCAGATGATCCTTTGTGGTTGGTGCTGTCCTTTGTGTAGCAACACCTCTGGTCTCCACTTGCTGAATACCAGTTACAGTTTCTTCCACCATTTGAATTGTGGCCTTCAAAAATGTCTCTGGAGATCTGCAAATGTTCCCTGTTTATCCTTGGTTGACAACTACTATACTAGGCTATGCATGCCTGGATCATTGATGTCTTAGAGATGGCCTGGATTATCTGAAGTTATGTTAATATATTGAGTGTAATTCAACTTAATATTTCAGTGCTATCCCAAAAGTCACTTTTTCTGAGTACCTTGTGGAAAGACATTCCACTAAAATTGTACATGGCCACAGGAAGTTGGAGAACAGCTCAGAATTCAAATAATGAAGAATAGTAGAGAGTGGACCAACTCGTCCACAAAGGAAGAACATTCAATAACGCTGTAAAAAAAAAAAAGATGCATTGTCTATTCACAAATATCCAGGCAAAGACAATCTTTAGGCCCATGACAAATAACAAGCTAATGTCTCTCAAATGACAGCCATGATTATTGATGATAAGTGTCAGCATGGTCTGGCACTCCAACCTCCTTAATCCCCTTCTGTAGGGGTGCTGCTACTTTGTAACTGCCATGTGTCACCAAAACTCAGTTACCTTTAATAAGACTTAAGTTGTTCTTTCATTTGAGAATTAAGGCCAATCAAAATATTACTCTAGAATGAAGCCATAGAATGAAATGTGTTTACTCAACCTAAGGAAAATAGAAAATAGTACAAGTACAAGAATGTTGAGTACATTAAAGGAGGAAGGTCCAGAAATTCCGGCAATACAGGGATCCAAATGTCATGTCCTCTTTCTTCTCCTCTTGGGAAATGCCTCTTTTCATGTTCACATGTCTCGCTGTGTACTCTGAGCCAAGCAAGGGTTTTCCCCCATGTGGTAAGGTAGAAAGGATTTTATATTCCCTGTATTCTTGGTGTGAAAAAGTAACTCTTTAGTTTAATCTGACCTAGAAAATTCTCTCTACTGTTCGGGAAACCTAATGCTTTATGTAGCATTATCAAAAATATTACCTGTCCATCAAGTTACTGGTACCTGAAAAAGTTAACTTTTTTCTTGTGACTACAGATACATACCTCAGGGAGCGAGCTTACTTGAACAGTTAATTTATCTTGCTTGAATGCCCATGGTGTACTGATTCCTGCAAAGAACATTGCTTAGTATGCAATGTCCACTTCTGAAGAGGCCACAGCTAATGCCTATTCGGCCCTGATTCTGGTCACAGGACTTTGTACTCTACAGTTTATGTTGCTTTACTTGTACCCTATCCTTTAGCATATCGACACTGGGTTCAGTCTTTGTTCTTCTATGCTAGACTACGGTCTCTGACATTTTCAGGCTTTGGCTTGGGTAGAATTGCCTCACCATCTATTTACTTTATGACTTTCAGAGAGTGTTACTCAGTATCCCTGAGTTTCAATTTCTTTGCTGTGACAATTGTAATAATAATATATAACTCATAGAATTGTGCAAGTGAAAGACACTGTGGAATCTGGTACCTGGACTATAGTGGCTTCTTTATAAACTTTCTCTATGAGTGTGATGATGATGATGATGATGATGATGCTTATTCATAATTTTAAAAAAGATAAATATCACTAAGGAAAACAAAATGATTGAATACAACTGTAAAGTTTTCTGATCTGGACAGGGTTTTACATTCCCACCTTGATTTCCTGGGTTTCTTTTCTCCTTCTGTTTTTTGCCATGGTTTCCATTTACAATGGGTTTTCAAAGCAACTCATGGCAAAATCAGCAGGAAATGGAGCCTTGCTAGTGTCTTTTTCCTTTTTGAACATCTACTAGGACTCTGTGCGACTAGACTGTCCAGGTTTACTTTCTGAGTCACCTCCGGAAAAGCAGTTCTCCTTTTGGGATCAGAGATCTCCTGCATCAGAATCTTCAGAGCACCTTACAGTGCTCAAGATGCACAGTACTGTTCCCCTATGTCTTAGTTACTGTCTTGTTGCTAAGAAAAAACAGCCAACACCTGCAAGTTAAAGGCAGAGAGGTTGATTTTAGCTCACAGTTTGTAGAGATTTCAGTCTGTAGTTGGCTGGTTCCAAGGCAGGGAGCCATGGCAGAGGAGAAACAGTTCAAGGCAGGGCAGGCAGGAAGCAGACAGCAATGAAGGGAGTAGGAAGGATATACATACATACATACATATACATACATATAAATATATATATATATATATATATATATATATATATATATTCTTCCAAGCTACACCCTCAACTCCTCTCACCAGTCTCAGTATCACACATAACCATAAAGACATCCATCAGTTGACTAATCCAGTGTCACACACCCATGAGTCAGTATCACACATTCATGATCCAGTCACTTTCCAAAAGCTCCACGTATGATCATATGAGGCTTTTGGGAGACCTTTATTTTTATTTTTTATGTATTTTTTATTGGTATGTTTTAGGTACAATACAGTTACATTCATCATTGGGATCTTGTGCCTTTACATAATGTATCTTGGTTCTTATTTTTTCCCCATACCCCTAGCCTCACTTCCTCCCCTCCACCCTTTGGGGAGACGTTTAGATATAAGCCATAATATCATCTTTTCACTGTCACCACCTACTAAGCAGAATATCTAATGGCAGGGCCTGGAAAGCTGTGCCTTATCTACCCTCTGATAGGATTCCCAGATAAAATACAGCATACCTGGCGACAAATCAGTTTAAGTATAAATGTGATCCACAAAGTGGTTTAAATATATTTATACTAAAAAAAATTCGATTTTAAATCTGAACTTTGAATATCCCTGGACATCCTGTGTCTTTATTTGCTAAACCTGAAAGCCCCATCTGGATACACACTAAAGCTTAAGGAACTAGGAAGATACTCCTAGCTGATCCCCCATGAGCTTTGTTTATAGAGGCAACAGTTGTGTGCAAAAGTATTTTTTTTTTTAACCGAAAGATATTTGATGCCTAACAGTGCCACAATTCTCCCTTTTCCTTATTCTCTTCAGTGCTCAGAGGTTAATATTCAGGATAGGCATTCCAAGGCCTGTAGTGTTTATTCTTGGGCTTGAGAAACTTTGAGATGGGACACCTGGTCGCCTTTGTCCTATACCATCCAGACCACATCAAACCCTAACATGATCAGAGATGGACCATGTAGGATCCTCCGATATTCACTTTATTGGAATGGCACAAGGCTTAGTCTGAGACAAGCTGAGCAGACTGTTCTGAAACTTCTATTCTCTGGGTGGATTTGGTTGGGTTGGCCTGGGACTGGCATCTCAGGCTAAGAGAAACCGATCACATAAATACATAGGAAATAGTCCAGCAGCTCCATCAGTTGGCCATTCATTTTGCTCACTAATAGTGGCCCCCTGGGCAGCAACCTGATGTGGCCCTATATTTTATCAGAGCTCTGTCTCCCTGACAGAGCGAAGAGGAAAGAGAGCTTAGGCTCCTCTGGGATTTGAGAGGGAACTCAAATGCAGTTCAGGATAGGATACATAGAACAGCCAACATGGAATTTAATTTATTTCTTGGGGTTAGGAAGGTACAAATGCAAATGCCTACAGGGATGGGTAACATTAGCAAGTAATGCAAAGAGGTTGGGACCAACACAAAATAATCCATAGACCAAGAAGGCAGGCCCTCATCATCTCCAGTTGATCCATGGCTATCCAATAGCATTTTGGGCAAGGAAAGGTGAAATGAATTTTTGTACTGTCTCCTAATTTTAAGATGTTGGAAATACATATAATAATTTTTGTAAACATCATCTAGGTCAAGTAAAACAGATCTTTATATGATATCAGATGCTTTAGGGAGTCAGTTTTCTCCTGTCTTTTAGTGTATTACATAGCAATGAACACATTATAGATAGTTCATAGAATTTATAAAGAATCTCATTGTATTCAGTTTGATCAGAAATAGATTTTCAGACACGTGTGGTCCAGTGGAAAATTTAGATTTTATACGTGCATATAAAAGACAATAATTATTTAGATATTAAATCCTGTGAAGAAATATCAAGGTGATTTTGTAATCTAAGCAGTGCAAGAGTTGTTGAGAGATTTGGGTTATAGTTGAGCTCAGCTACTGTGTCTCAGAGCTAAGCTTTGGCTAATCCAATCATCTGACCTTTAGTTCATTGCCAAATCATTAATTTGTTCCAAGGATCAAAGAGAATGTTGGCTGGCCTTGGCTTTGAGAAGTGTCTTTGCCTTGACAGCCACTGTGTGTTTTTGCAAAGAACATAGGAGAGAAGCTTAGGATAGGTGTCACTTGTAACCTCTCTGGAGAAGCTTAAAAGAAGACCTTCATTTGAGATACCAGATGTTGGGATGGGCAAGTTAAAGTCTACTGAGAGCTGCCTAGAGAAAGGGTAATGGAAGGATAGTTTCATCTTGAGGGGGAAAATTAAAACCAAAAAAAGTTTCAGCATTAGACCTTCTTGCTAAATGAAATAAATTAGATACAAAGGTTAAATATTTGTTTCTCTTATATGAGAAAACTAAAATATAAATAAATGAATAAAATAAAAGCGAGATGATAGGAAACTAGAAGGCAGACTGTTGGAGTGGTGGAAAGGGATCAAAGGTGGGAGAAGAGGATAAAGTGATTGAAAATGACTAAAATATGATATACACATGTACAGTATTCCCCCAAATGAACATATATTATTCTATATTGCAAATATATATTATAAGAAAGTATGAAGTACAAATAAAAATGTTTCTTTTCAGCAACTGTAGCACATACATAATAACTATGTTTAAACTATGTTTAATTTCTGTAGGGGAACAGAGTTTTTGCTGCTGGCTATGGCTATTTTTTTCATCTTGTGACCAGTCAAACATCCCAAGCTCCACTCCTCTCCTTCACACAGAATGTTGCACATTCCTGCACAAGGTAACTGCAAAAAGTTACGTACATTTGGGGTATAATGACTACAGTTTATCACTTTTCTGTAGTTTACTCACAAAAAGGGTATAAGGTTAGGCAATGTGACAGCATATTTCTTAAGTCACTTTATTAAAGCATTATTGACTTACAAAAATCTGTACATATTTAGCTGTACAAACTTGATAAGTATGAAGGTAAGTATATACTCATGAAACCAACCTGTAATCTGTGTCACAAATATATTCATCAGCTGTAAAAGTGTTTGCTTTTGATATGCTTATTTACTTATCATTGCAAGAACACTTGAAATAAGATGTGCAACCTCTGTAAAATTGTGGGTATACAATACAGTACTGTTAGCTACAGGCAGTATGCTATATCTCTGGGACTTACTCACCTTTCATAGTAACATTTTGTATCCTTTGACTAATATCTCCTTATTACTCTCCAGCCTCTGGAAACCAGCATTGTATTTTCTGCTTCTGACACTTTGAATATGGTAGATTTCTAATATAAGGGTGACATTTCTTCTTCTGTGTCTGTCAGCCTCATCCAACACAGAATCCTTAGCTTTATCCTCCTTGGCACAAACAGCAATATTTCCTTGTTTTGGAGGCTGAGTGATATCATATAGTACACTGTGGCACATTTTCTCCATTTGTGCATTCATTCATTCATTCATTCATGTGTTGATGCCACTTAGATTGCCTTTCTGTCTTCTTAGATATAGCGGGTAACTGTGTAAGGGTTTTAGGTCATAAAAGTTTGGTGGTTAGTGGTTAAGGAAAGAGACAGGAGTCTTGTGACAAACCTGCAGAACAGAATGTACCTTTTGTAGTTAATCAGTATGGAAGAAAGAGAGAGAGAGAGAGAGAGAATTTCAAAGTGCTTGACAACAACTAGTAATGCCAGGCTGTAGGAATCTGGTAGGTTTGGCTCAGGGCCCCAGTGGAAAGATCTGTCTTGGAGAACAGGCTGTTTGTAGGTGACTTGCTTGCTCACTGAATGAAGAGACTTGTTCACAGCTTTGCTATATAGAGGGTAAAGCCATCTGCTGAGAACAAGGTCATGTGATACAAAATGGGGTGAAGAATTTGAAATACATGGGGAAAATACTGAACTCAGAGCCTGTCATGTCTTGCTTCAAATTTCTAACTCTTCAATGTAGAAGAGTCTGATCCATTGAAATGAGGGTATAGCTAAGTGCTCATCTACTATGTGCCAGACCTTGGTTTAATCCCTTGCACCAGAAGTATCTTCCTTATTGGTAAAGTGGGGACAAATCTACATTGAAAGTTTGGTGTAAAAATTAGAGATGATGTATTGCACCAAGAACAGCATCTGGAATATAGTAAGGAATTAATAATTGATAGTAGTAAATCATTATGACATTAGTAATATTATTAAATCATGATAGGAAATGGTAAGAAGAGTAGAATAAAGAATATGAAAAATTGGTAAGCAATGTTGACGTGCCAGTCAAGGCTGAGATTAGTTCATGTCTGATGAAGTTGTCATTATGAATATTCATCAGCTTTGAGCAGTCTTGAGAGGTAGACTGCAATGCTGTCAGAGGAGAGCAATGGTAGGACACTGCAAGCAGAAGAACAAAAGATGAAAGTACTACCAGTGTTGGTATCCACTCTTCTGCAGAGAGGACAATTTAGGGAATGTGGTAATGCAGCATGGACTATGGCAATTGGCTTGTGTGAAAATCTAGGAGAAAGTTACAGACTGTAACAGAGTAGAAAGGCTGAGGAGTGAGCAATGGCCTTAGAAAGGGTCACAGGTCTTATCTATTTCCACTTGTCTGTATTCATTAGTTTTATATCTGATAAGGGATTAATATCTGAGAATATGTAAGGCACTAACTGAACAACAAAAAAACAAATAATCCAATTTGAAAATGGAAATAGACCTAAATAGATATTTCTCAAAAAAAGATAAGCACGTTACCGAAAAGTGTGAAAACCATCCATAGAAAATGGAAATCAAGAACATGTAGATGAAAACCATAACGAGATATCATCTCTAGCAGTTAGAATGGATAAATATGACTAATGATAAGGAGAAAAGAGAAAACTTATACACTGTGAGTGACTTTATGAGGTGTGATTAAAAAAAAAATATAGTGAAAGCTGCTGCCCAGTGCCATCCACCAGAAAGGCAGGATCGTGAAAACATTATGGTGTATGGTGTATATGTTTGGGTATTGCAACATTATCATGTTACCCACAATTATGTGTAATCACTTTGTATTGATTTAAGAAATATACACAAAAACTTTTGTAACTCCAATGACAAAAAAATGGAAAATTAAAGACATAGCAGTTGGCTTATTTTATTTTATTTTTTTTTTACTTTTTAAGGCTTGGGCTCTTTGTATATCCTAAATTTCAGCCACCTTGGGATCACAACACTGGCCCTACTGTGTTCCAAAATTTCATGGTTTGGGGAAGTGCAGGTGGTGCTCAGGTAAGTTTCATAAGCTTTTTTAAAACTGAAACTGTTACTTGTTTTTTTCCCCCCTGAAAATTTGTTGTCTCTATTGAAAGGGGAATGATTTGCAGAGGAGAGGATTATAATGTTATCACAGTTTAAAAGAGCCAGTGGCATCACGAGTATGTGTGGAGTAGTTGTTGAGTAAACAAATCCTTGTCCTTAGTCTGGGGCAAGGACATTTCCTATATGAGACAGTCCTGAGAGAGATCAGGTTTAAAACTAGGAGGCTGCTCTGTTTTCCTAGTGTGGGCATTCAATGTTATGAATTTTCGACGTAGAACTGCTTTCATTGTGTCCCAAAGATTCCTGTATGTTGTATTGGCATTCTCATTTATTTGTAAAAACTGTCTAATTTCTTCTTTAATTTCCTCTGTAATCCATTGATTGTTTAGGAGAGTGTTGTTCAGTTTCCATGTGCTTGTGAAGTTTCTATAGTTTCTTGTGCTATTGATCTCCAGTTTGATTGCACTATGATCTGATAATATACAGGGGATGACTTCAATTTTTTTGCATTTATTTAGACCTGTTCTGTGAGCCAGTATGTGGTCTATCTTGGAGAATGATCCATGTGCAGCCGAAAA